CCTGGCAGGCTCAGGTGGACCCGCCGCGCGCTCTGGGGGGCCCGCCCTCCAGATTGTGAGGCTCGCAGCTGCACGCTGCGCTGATGCTCGGGAGTCGGGCCTGCTTCCCGAGTCCTTGGCCGCGGCGCCGACTCTCGCTCTTCCTCGGTTTTCCCCTCGAGAAAGTGGGGAAATGCCTGCTCCTTTGGGCAGGGTTGTTTTCAGGCCGTCTGAATGTGTGGGAAAGCGCCGGGGCAGGAGCCCAGGGCACAAATACGGAAAGCTGGGCAGGATACTGCCTCTTGCTGGTGTGAGTGTGGCAGGAACCCCCTCCTCATCCGCCCTGGCGAGGAAGGTCCCCAGCCTCGCTCTCCCCCAGTGCCTCGTCATTGCTCGCTCAGTGCCCAAGCGAGGCCGGCGCGGGCCCTGCCCACCTCCCCTCCCACTCCCCGCACCTAGAGCGCTGCTGTCCTATCCCGGCCATCTTCCCACTTGCCTGGAACGCTGCAGCCCCGTTTGTTTACCTTTGCACCTTTGCACTTGCTGTTTCCAGGGCTTGGAGTTGCCTCCGGGTTCTTTGCACAGCTGGCTCCTGGTTCTTCCTCTGGTCAGATGTCTCATTTAACAGCAGGCCTACCTTGACTACCCTTTTTCATCCCTCATCCATTCAATCATCATTTAATTTTTTTTCCCTAGCATTCACTCTGATTCTATTTATTTGCCTGTTTATTTTTTTGTCTCCCGTACTAGGATGTAGCTGTATGAAAACAGGTAGCCTGTTTTGTTCGCACTGCTTCATCCCCAGTGCTTAGAAAGCACACAGTAAGTATTCAGTAGTATCAGTTCAGAGGATGAATGAATGAATGAATGAATGACCCTGCCTGCCTGTTGTCTGCGCTTTATCTGTTTGCTTAGTGACTTCTGACTAACTTGTGAAACATGGAAGTAGGCGGGTGCTTGTTCTCATTTTATGAAACATTTTAATGTCCTTGACCCCTTTATTTGGTAACACTCAGAACAAACTGTGATATAAAAATCTTACATTTTTATAATGTTTTAGCTTTAACTTCCTTACATTCAGGAGACATTTACTAAATTCGACATTATTTAGGTCAGGCTTTCTGATTAGCCTTGGGAAAGAAATATGATAGCAACAGGGTCCCTTCCTCCAGAGAGCCAGAGAACCCAGCAGTGAAGTCAGACATGCACACACAGTGTCAGGACAGTGTGATGTCTGCTATAGTGGAAGGGCTGTGCCATGGAAACTCGAGAAGATGACTATTGGTGCTGTTGTTAGTCCTTGAAAGTGCTGAGAAATTTGCCAGGGAGGGAGAGGCACAGAAGTGGGAAAGGGCAGGGTGAAGGAAGGACCTTAGCCAATGTGGGGTTCGGAATCAACCTGTAGGACCAGGTGTAAGACAGATGGTGAGAATCCTGAAGAACCAGACCTCACCCAGCAGTTTTTAAAAAGTCTGAACTTCATATTTGTTAACTACACTCTCTGGATTTTTAAATGTTGGCAGTAGCTAATTAAAAAATTTTTAAATGCTGTTAGCCAAGCAAAATACTGACCTGATTCAGCTTGGTTTCAGGATTATAGACCTCAAGGGCAGGCAACGTAGGAGGGAAGTGGTGCAAAGAGCTGGAAAGGTAGCCTGAGGCCAGGGGAGCTAGTTTGTCCAGGTACTCTCATTTAATTGTCACTGGAGCCCCAAGAGGGTTCACAGAGTTTTAGTAGTCTGCTTCACAGCAAGCTGTTAGGAGGTGAAATTTGAACCCAGGTCTCCCCCAGATCAGGGTGCCTTCCTGGGTCCCTCAACTCCATGTATTCTCCTGGCTTTTAATTTGTTCTGGTAGAACAATATCTGATCTAGATAATGTTTATCTTCATTTAACCTTTTTTTTTTTACCCTTCAGAAGGATCCTTCAGGGTTAAAAAATAATCCTGTTTTGTCATAGTATTCTCTGGAGAGCTTTGATTTTTTATTATTTATTTATTTATTTATTTATTGAGGACTTAATTTTCAGGATTCCAGGACTTTAAATAATTTGTTGATAGATTAAAATGTGTTTATTTGTCCCCCCTAAATAATGTTAGAGGGTACACTTCAATTTGTCTATTTAA